AATACAGGCTGACAAAGTAATCCTAAAGCAATCACTGTCTTCCGATAAATGAATCCTATTAATTTTTTATTCAAAGTTACCACATTTATTTCTCAATATTGCTGTTACCCTAGATTCTGCAGAGAAAAGAAAAAAGATCACCTCTAAGAGTAAGATTATATTTTACTTCATACACACCTCTGGTTTCCACTTACTCCCCTATTCAGACAGGCAACTCTAGATACTATCGTACATTTACTATGTTTATACAACACTCCTCTCACCACTGAAGTTTGCGTACAACAGCACATTTACCATTACAGGACCCTTATGTTGTACTGTTGGTATTCCCAAACTTAACCAAACTCATTTTAATGGACTCACTCATAAATACCTTTTACATTGTCCTCTGCAACACTAGTCCCTGCTTCTTCATAGGATTTCTGCCAGAAGCCATACCCTCATTCTTCAAGTGCATTTCAAGTCAAACTCCCTTAAGGTTCAACTACATATTCTCAACTGATCTTTCATAAAACACTTTCGAGGAAAGCTGGTACATAGAGTGCTATTTATCACCTTCACGCATTTTCGCATAAGTATAGCAATTTTCATAAGGATATACAATGCTAGTATTGCCCAGGAAGTAATAGTGACGATTTTATTCCCTTATGAAATGTTTCAGTATAAGACATGCTTATTCACTGACAATCTGATGCTCATTTGAACAAGTGTTTGGATCTGGGGACTTTTTTTTGGCCACCAGTAATAGCACTTAACTGATTATTTTTTTTCTGTGGGTTTTTTGGGTTTTTTTGTTTGTTTCCCTGCCTCCCCAATATTCCCTATATTAAAAGGGCCTATATTCAGCAAGCACATTCACAAGCTATTCTTGTCCTGTCTCCTAAGATTTCAAGGAACAGTTTTCCAGTACCTACAAACCTACTCAGTTTCTACCACTTTGTTTTTTTCTAGCTTTATAAATAATTCAGCCTACCACTAGAACAAGGCTTTTTGGGTTTTGTTTGTTTGTTTGCTTTTAGTTGGTTTTTTTTTTTTTGAAGTTGTATTTTGCAATATTCAAGCGATCAAGGCAATTGCTACATATCCATAATTACCTTTACACTAAAAGTGAAGTCACAATTCCTGCCAAATAACGACCTGTGATGAAACCAGATGAGGTTCAACACATCATAATAACAGGTGATCTTCTACAAACAAAGGTAAGGTTCCATACTTCATTAAGCAGTCAAACAAAGCGTTATTTTAACAAATACAATCAACAATTGGATTTTTTCCCAATCTGCTAGGACTGTTCTATCAACAAAAAAAGGCTCTTTTTTTCCCTTGTTACCTGCTGGAATAACTTCACTTTATCTTTGGCCATCAGTAAACTAAATATTTATTTAAATTAAATTGGTTTCAATAATAACAAAAGTATTTCTTACAGAACTACAAAGAGCAACTATTCTTGCTTTATTTTTTTGCCTTTTTAAAAAAAAAAAGGCAACTTCACAAGCTAATAAGAAACAAAGCAACGCAATGATCTCATCAATCCACTCTTACACAAACCAAAAAGTTAATTCCCCCACGTTTTTCAAGAAAGCTGTAGCCCACATAAGTTATATAGAAGAGCTGAAAAGAAATTTGAGCAACAGGAAGAAAGTTTCAAATAAAACTGAAAAACAGGTTGAGGCAATTAACTACCAAGATTCTACTGACTACTTGATGCCAAAAGGCTCTTTCAAACACACTGCCACAGACAAAGCCCTCGAGAATGAGATTCTGACTTTTGAGCAAGTCCAACAAGTGTATTCTTAAGTTTTCAGCTGCATAACACTAAAAACAAGAAAAGGATAAATGCCTACAAATTTCATTAGGATCTTTTCTATCTACTATTTATATATTCCTATTCTTATAAAACATGCTTATCTCAAGGCAATAGCTGTATCAATACCATTAAAAACCATTAAAAACGTTCGGTTTGACAGCCCCATTAAGCTGAAGAAACAATTTATACAGATTAAATATAAACAAAATTCAAGCGTTAAGTCTCAAGGTTATAAAAGCATTGTTTTAGCGATAGACTACTAAGTCAACCTTGTGTGTACTTAAAACTCTTCAGATAAGAAAAACCTTGAGCCGTGGTTTTCAGGGATTTCACTGATAACCTTGACCCGTGTTCCCATGGTATCCCTATGCAGAAAAATTTGATTACACCATCTTGAATTGCATAACGAACCTAAATACGTACTGTTTATTCCCCAGGAATCTGATCATTTATCTATTCTGCGATCAATGCTGTTAAAGATCCTTTTTAATTAGGAAAGAACTGTTGGCAAAACTGTTGAAGGAAACGAAGTTTTGAGTAAGAGGACAAACAAGACAGATAAAGTGTTCAGGATACTTTGGAAAATTCAGCTCATTTGAATATATGACATAGTACAACTAAATGCCAGGTCAAATATCTAGGACAAGTAAAATAAGCACAATCCATCTTAGAAACAGTGATACTGAAAAGAGCCTAAGGAGGAAGAAGGTGTAGAAAAAAGCCAGGTGAGCCACACTTTTAATAGGATACTGCAGCAAACAATCCTTTTTTGTTTTAAAAATACATGGTATGATTACAGGGAGGCAATGGTATGATTACAGGGAGGCAATGTTTATGTTCAGCAATGGTCTTACCAAAAAAATACCATACCCAGTGACTGTGTCCACTTTTCCAAATACATATCCTAAAACTCAAAGAGGGATCACAGAAAACTCCTGGAATTCCAACACTTAAAAAACATGTTTTATCAAAATAGATTTAAGATTCAAGTCTGCTAATTTTATCACCATTTCTTAGAATCCATACACGGGAAGTCTGTTTCTAGTAAAGAACTCTACTCTAGAAGACCTAATAGTTACAGCCTCAGCTGAACTTAGACCAGATGTAGTAAGTACACCCAACCACAGCAGCAACTGACAAAAAGCGTAAGTCTTTCTCACTTCAAGCCTAAGTTATAGTAAGTAGAGAGAGATGCATCACAAACTATAAGAAATACCTTTGTGACCAAAATGTGTCTACCTAGCGTTGCTACTCTCAGGAAATTCTACAGCTTGTGTTGCACAGGTGATCAGAGTATGGTAACCAGCATCTGATATCAAAACACCTAAGTTTATGTGCATTATAACCAATCAATGTGAAATGACAATAGATTAGTGCAGAAAGAGACCTTTATGTTTTAAAAGCAAATCAGAAAAGAATGAACCTAACATGACAAGAGATTTAAGTTGGGAAGCTACCAGCTCTGAACAGTAGACCATTCAAAAAGCTTCTGATTTATCAAATTAACGGAGTCAAATTTAAGATGCTTCCAATCTATGCCATTCAGTAAGACAGGAATCAAATTCATCCTATCGTCAGAATCTTAATGAGTTAATTCTTTTAGCCCACATATAGTCTTAATCTTTCCTTATGTGCCTCTAACAGATCTCTCAGTTAAGATGGAATAAAAGAAAAACCTGAAGCTGCAAGCACTCACATGAAAAAAAAACCCACACAACTCTACGTAACAAAAAACGCACATGCATACACAGCCAACTGTTCTCACATGCCAAAAAAGAAGTGTTAATGTCTATCTTCAAGAAGTACTGAAATATTAAGCTAAATACCAGAAATTCTGTTAATTTTCTTTCACAGATAAATTTTTACAGAATTCACAAAATCTGAGTATTTTCCCCTATGCTGGTGGCATACCTTTAAGGATGCTTGATTCGTAAATAAGACCGAGTCTACATAAACCGATGTTCACCTATCAAACAATAGTAGCTCATGCCACTGAAACTTTTCCACAATATCTCAAATTTAGTAGAGGAAAATGCACAATATGAAGCAAGTAACTGGAAACAAAACTGCTTCATGATAGAATTAAGAACACTGTTTAATGGGGGGGGGAGCAGAAAAATCACTATCAGGGGTTTTTTTGGAGCTGGGAAGGAAACATGTTTAATGAGAATTCTGCAGGATGAGACTTCCGTAACAGTAGATGAATGTCTCCCCTGTAAATTTACAGTCAAACTCCTCTTGAGAGCACCAAGGTCAAGAATCACACCAAAAGCAACACTGAAAGCAGTAGTAAGGAACAACCATGCAAACAATGAAAACAAATTAACATATAATACTCTTCAATCAAACTGACAGAATTTGCCCTTATCTGTTCAGTTGAATGGTACTTATGGCTTGAGTTAAAATTGTGGCTTTAGTTTAACTATACAGCTTCTAAAGAAGAGACTAAATCTAAATTAAACTCTGCTGAGAGCTTAGCAGTTAAATCACTGTCACGATTTTTTCAGAAGGCTACAGGAGACCTGAAAATGATCAGGAATGGTTAATTAAACTCACTCCTTTCCCCAAGAGCAAAAATAGCTCCAGAATTTAGAAAGTTGAAATCCAAGACTGAGAAGTGTGGTATATACAAGGTATAACGCAAGTTTTTGTTGCAATTGTTTTTTCCAATTCCAGTTCTTCCTAAAAGTCTGAATAATGTTTGTTCAAAAAAATTGTGTTGATAAGGAAGTAAAACACAGAACTCAAGAACTTTTGCAGTCACCAACATATTAGGCAGAGATTAAAGACATTTTCAAACCTATTTATGGTAGCCAACAGTCACTTCACAAAGTGTGCTAGTGAGCAGTTTAATGATATTAAAAATACTTCCTTTACTTAACTCCTTCCCCTAAAACTATGGAATACGCTTAAGCAGGGAAGTGTTAGCTCATGAAATTATATGCCTATTTAAATCAACCTAAGCCACTGCGCAACATCACCTCAGTTTTACTCTGCTCCTGACTTTACAATACTTCAGGCTAAACTTCTGAAGTGCTTTTGGTTAGCTTGTTTAAGGAGAACATAATCTGTCTTTCTAAATATTAGGTTTTATGGTCATATTTAAGAGTATATTAGTCAAACAATCCATCCCATTTGTAACATAATCCACCCCACTACAGCTGAACATATGATGATATATTTCTTCCATTACCTGTCTCTGAAATATAAACAACAGGATCCTGCTTTAGAACTTTACCAAGTTTTGAAGTAGCTGCTTTTTTCTCAGATGGCTTCTTGGATTTTTTCACTGACTGCACCTCCTCTTCTGAATCTGTATTTTGACCACAACATAAATGTAGATTTCCTCCACATACATACAGGCTTTAAGTAATAGATCACATAACATTAGTTAACATGTTTTCACATATATTCAACTGTGTGAGAAAAAGATATCACATGGAAGGTCAGAGCACAGCTTCATTTTTCTCCATCAGCTAATAGCCTAGCCATCATTTATTCCAGCATATAAATGACTAAATGAAAATTTGGTCAGAACTCAGTCTAGACAGTGATTTTTTGTTTACATAACAAGACATATTTTGTTACTTATTCCAAAAACTGCTATGCCTGTATAAAAACCTTTCCGAAAAGGAATGCAATGGTCAGAGTACCACATCAGATTACTTGAAAAAAAAAAACCAACCCAAAAACAAACCACCAAACCAAAAAACAACAACAACACACAAAAAAAACCCCCACACACCCCCCAAAAAAAGGCAAAAAAAAAAAACAAAACACCACAACAAACTTTTAACATAGGTTCATTAGCCTGATTAAATTATGCTGGTGTATTCCACTACACCTATTCCAAAAGCTAACAACAGGCTAGATCACTGAGGTTGTTCTCTGATTTTTCAGAACACTGGTAGACTACCATTCATCTCACCGACCATTCTCCATACCCCAAAAGTTGTCAAGATGCCAAACTTAAACCACTGTGAATTATGTATCCCAATGAGTAAGCAGGACAAACTGAAAAAGCCGAGACAACTTGCAAGATAACAGAGGACTACCCTTCAGAGCCTACCTTTTTCCATGATAAACACTAATATGTATTGTAATTATAACAAAAAAAAAAAAAAACCCACAACAACCCCAACCCCACACACTTTTCCATCTTCAAGAACTTAGAGCACTATTTCTCTTTTGCTCTCCTACTACTAAAGGGCTAGAATTTGCAAAGTCTCCAGACAGTATCAGCACTTTAAAGGTAGCAGTTGAGTTACATATTACTTTTGTACTCCACCTTTTAATGCAGAAATATTTCTACTGCTATTCCTCACTGCTAAACAGAAACTGTTTATAGAACAGTTCATCTGAAGATTTGAACATATTTTTCTATATACAACAGCATTATTCTGACAGATGTTTGTGTAATCATTTTTCTCCTACAAGAGAAGGAATCTTCTATGGTTAAGAAGATTGCTTCTAAAAATTCAAGCTGAAGTCTTCAGTAGGAGTCTAAAATTGTAGAAACTCCTACAATCTTTTCTACAGTTTCACAACAAATATTCAAGATTCAGAATCCAATGAAAGAGGGATTAAATGACATAACAGCTCAGAAAGATTAAACTAGAAATTTCAAGCTTTTAAATTAAACTTAGCTTGACAGGCAAGGGTTTGGGGTTTTTTTTTGGTTGGGGGGGGTACTTTTCGTTGTTTGGGTGGGCTGTTGTTTTTTTTTTTTAATATATAAGTGCTATGAAAGGGGTTTCCCTTATTACAATATTCCAAAGAATATTTTTAGAATATGATGGCAGTGCTTTAAATTATATTCTGCGTGTTCCATACTGTAAATTTAAAACTATGCGATGAACATTTACTAGATTTTTTAATAGAGAAAGACACATATGAAAACACAAGTTAGCCTCTAAAAACAATCTCCTATATTATTTTCACACAATGCACAGAAATGTGAAATTATAGTATATTATCAGCCTCCTGTACAGCGTAGGATATAACTTATCCCTAACAGAACAGGAAACCTAAAACTCCCCACAATTTATATACGTCTTCATAACAAAAAAAAAAGTTCTGGAGCCTTGATAGAATTTACCATCTGAACTTTTTGTTGTTGTTTTTTGTGGGTTTGTTTGTGGTTTTTTGTTGTTGTTTAGTGGGTTTTTTTGGTTTTGTAGGGGGTTTTTTTAACAGAAGTTTTATTAAAAGTTACTTTGCACTGGCACACACTGCACTCTTATTATTATCAAACATATTTAGCTATCCAGCAATAATTACTGTAAAAAATGTTTTTAATTGCATTTACTAAAACAAAAAAAAAAAACCAACAGACCACAGCTTTCTTTCAGATATACTATTTACCTAATTGACCTTGAATGCCAATGCAAAAAATACAAAGGAGCATTCAGAAACAACTGTGAACGCTACCTGAATCGTAGATTATTCTTTTTTTCTTGTTTGTCCGCTTTTGTTTGGAATGATCTTCACTGGGTGAATTGTTCACCTAAGAGTAACAGTTCGTTAGTTCAACCAGTAAACAGGTCCTTCAAGCTTTTACTCAGTTACATGTTCAAATTTATGAGTTTCAAACAAATTCTAACAGAAATTATTTATTTCCCAGTATCACATTTACGAACAGTCTTGTGCCAACTCGTGAGTGGGAGGGGGAAAGGTGCAGGGCAGAGGAAATAAGGAAGAAACTGCAGCAGTAAAGCTAAACGTGCTCCAAGCAAACCACAGATGATTACGCTGAGAATAAATATTCAAGTTTAATGCCAATTAAAGTAAATTAAACAGATTTTCGAGCATTCCCAACTTCTAATCCAAAAAAGAAATTGCATGGTCCTACCAGAAATAGAGATGGTACAGCCTAGTAAGTTACTTTTATGGAATTCAGCTTTCACTTTTGGTTCCATTCTGGATGTGGCTTTGCTGTAACCACCAGAATTCGACACGACTTCAGAGTAAAACATAGCCAATTGAAAAAGGAAAAAAGCATACACAACAGTTGAAGCTACACTGATATCCTATTCAGTGTCCTGGTTGCTTGCAGGTTCTCCTCTCACCCATTAAGCAGCGCAGCTATCATAAGAGATTGCACCAGTGGTCACAGTTGACAAACGTTGCTCTATCTAGCAGCAGCTAGTATTAAACTGTCTCAAGGACTTTTTTTTTTTTTTTTTTAAAAAGCCATTGACAAGTTTTAGATATTTAGAAAAATCACAAGCTGCACAGATAGGAAGTTTCCTGGGCCTACCAAACTACCACCTATCCTTGTTTCATAGTCATGCACAGCTGTAAACGCTTCTAAAAATTTAATTCTAGATAAACGTAACTACATACGTTTTATAATCCACATTCAATTCTAATCTGAAACCTGTTAAATCCTTGATATAATTGGAGAATTGCAAAGTAAAAACAATTGATCACATATGATAATTGCTATGTCTTTCAGTTCCACTGAACGGTCCTTTATTTTCACATTGAAACAATGAAATTATACAGCCAAAATTTTTTTTTAAGTAACATCTTACTTCTTGATTGTGATGCTTCACATTAAACACTCCATCCTATGAGAAATCCTGCCATTCTCTAAGCGATTTTAAAGCCCTCTTTAGCCACTCCTTTCTTTTCTATACCAATTCAGATGATTAACATGAAAAGTACCGGGAGACTAGAACCCAATCTAATTTTAACCTGTCATTTTACAGAATTTGGTCTCTGCAACAGGTTTACATAAGTGACCCTGTCCAAGAAAGGCAGTGTTAATGTTTCCCCCACAGGTGTTTAAAAAACACCTGGTTACAAAACTGGTCAGAGGGCACCTACACCACAGACTTTTACCTTACTTGAAAGCATGACATCTTTATGATATGTCTACATCTACTGTGCGTAAGCCTCAATCTTAATTATAAGCAGAGCTACTCAGAGAACTACGGCTATAGCTAAAATAACTTCAAATACATAAAGATTGTTCCTACGTTAGCACCTAACCATAAAAACTTCTACCTACCTCTCCTTTGCCCTACAACCCAAATATTTTTTAAATTAGCAATTTTCTTCACCACCTACAAAGTTTTGCTGCTAGAAGTTAATATTAGGTGGTAGTTTCCTCCCATGCCAATAAAAACAACTGACATATAGTCTGATTTTTGAGTATATGGGAAGAAGTATGACTCCAAAAAAATGCTAGAGAGATGAACAATCCTACATCAGAGAAACCAAGCACTTCACAAACAAGAAAGGCAAAACTAACTTTAGTCTCCTTTCCCTTTTTCTTCCCACTTGAAGGTCCTTCATTGTTTTTAATTTTTTCACTCTTTTTCACAGTCTCACATTCTTGTCGCTTTCCAGGAGATACAACGCCGAAGAATTTCCGGATATCCTAGTAAAGGGAAAACAGATTTATAGATTTTTAAATACAGATAGCTCTTAGAAGTTTCACACTACAAAACAGCAATGCATTTAAATTACTTTCTCAGCAGTGCCTTTATAATATTTGTTAATCTTGAAATTTTGTTTACAATTAAGAAAACAAAGACCAGTTAAACATAGCTGCTCAGACACCATGCCACCTTTCTCTCGTCTTTGAATCATGGAAAAAAGTTTATTTTTCCCTTAGTTGGACATCTTCACCAACACACACTTCAAAACAAACTTCCATTAGCGATGAAATACAGTGACTTAAGACAGATGTATAATTGATCTTTTTTTCCCCAAATAATCATCATAAACCTAGCCCAGAGCATTTCTATAGTTAAAATGATCAACTCCGGTATGAAGCGGTGTCCAATGTGAAAAAAGAAAAAAAAAGCACCAAGAGCTAGAAAGCAGTCAAGTAGTTGGACGTACTGCATCCTCCGCCTTCTTATACATTTAGAACAGTAACTCTCATCTCACTAAAAAAATTAGCCAGCAAGAAACAGATTAAAATTTAAATAAAGAGAAAGAACTTAATACGAAGAGCTCCAAAAAGTCTATTTTGTAACCTTATTTTATTATCTGACCACAGTACAACCATAAAAAGCTTTCTAAATATGGAAAATCAGCAGCTGAAACTTTAATTTTAAAAAGCACTATTGTACACACAAATCTGACTTCTATTAAAAAACCTAGTATTTCCATTTTATTAAAAAGAAATTGAGAAAACACATACCTGGTTAGTATCACTACCTTCAGGGGTAGCAGCCATTTTAGAGAAAGAAAGTACCGCATATGGCCTAAATATATAGCAGGTAAAGGGTGTGGCTCAGGACTATATTCTACCCAGCTGATAGCTATTCCCCATCATACAGTTCATCTGGGTAGTTTTTGATTATTACAGGCAACTATAAGTAAAGTAGTAAATTCTTAAGAAATCTCCGTAAGTCTGATTGACAAGAAGGTGTATTTCAGGCTCCTGTTCTCTTATCAGTCAGCTCCCTGGCAGCTTGGATTTAGATCATCAGAGCCCCAAGGGCTTAAGATCAATTGAGTATGTAATTTGAAAGCATACACAAAATATGGGACACATATAGATTTATTTACTATATTTAGCTTAAAACAATTTTCTAGAATCAGAAATGTTGTTTCCTGTAAAAATTTAGACTCTTTATGTTTTACCTGCATATAATAACATGGATTCAGCAAACAGACAATGGTAGACTGGGAAGCATTCTTCCCTAATGAGACTTCACACATTTCCATCTATGGAATTTATGCCTTGAGGTATAAATTTTCAACACTCTGCTAGTTTACATGTACTCCTACAATATAAATGCAGTACTTTATAAGCTCTGAAATTTTGACTGCCAATACCTATAGCTAACAGGTTTGAAGAAAGCATCTATTTAAAAAGTCTCAAAGAAGATTCATGGACTCGATCACTCAGTCATTATTACTGACTTCTTTTTAGGCTTAAGGTAACATAGGCAACAAAAAAATTGATTACAAGTCTCATTAGATCTTTTACGTAGTAAAATAATTTAAATACTTAATACAACACTGCAAAATAAAGTGACCTTAAAGTTTTGTTTTCATTTTTTATAGTTGTTACTTTTAGGCTTAAAATATTTGGATAATAATTAATTTTAGATCAATAGTAACGCTCTGTTCATTCTAGTATTTTAACTAAAAACTATTAACTAGTAAGTGAGCTGCTCTGCAAACACCATATGCAATAATGTTAGATTTTTTTTTTACGGACTTATACAAGGAAATACTATCATATCCTCATTTATGAAATACAGACTTAATAAAGAAAATATATGAAATTCACCTGTCTGCCCCAGCTTCTTCCACTATTTTAGTATCACTGTTCCTGAACTGCTAAGGCCCAAATTATAACATGTAAATTATTACTTCCTGCCTCATCAGTTCTCATGAGATATCAAGTTAGCTTGTCATAAATACCTTTAATTCACAAAATGAATGCCATAGCTATAAGCCCTGCTACGTTTAACATGCTACAGAGGACCTAAACTGCCACGTCAAACTTTTAAAAAATAGTATCTAATCAGGGTCAAATTTACAAGCTATTTTCCCCCAAATCACTTCATAAACATCTAAAATAAATGGGTGACAGTCAACTGCTACTATCTTTTATAATGCAGGTAGTATTTCATTAGATTAATGGGTCAAATGAGAATAAACAATTTGTTTGTTTTATTCAGAGCAGCATCTTCTACCCATTTATTAAGAAAGCACCATCCATAAAAATACTATTTTTTTCTTTGAAAATACTGTGGTGATACAGCAGCTACATATTCCAAAATGGCCTCCCTATGTTAACACAACTCGTTCTATCCTCTGGACGCAAACTGTACTTCAGTCCTCAGGAAATGCCAGCTTTTTTCCATTTCTTTTATTGTTACATGCTTGTGTTAAGCAGCTTTTCAGAAAATACTGTGAATATAAAAGCACACAAGCCACCTAGAGGTTTCTGAATAAAAGTTTGTATTTGGGTAGCAAATTTTAATTTCCCATAGTGACCATCTACTTCTGAGTGATTACACTACACGGCCCTAAGCTACAAAGGAAAACTGACATCAATGTACAATCTTCTTCAATCTTCAGAGTTATAAATCCTCCAATCTTCTTCAGCTATCCTGCTCTTTAGAAGAAAAGGTAACCTTGTTAGCCTCTGCTGGACTATAACAGATGGTGAATTCAGAATTGCTCGGGAGAAAAGCATGCCACAGTGCAACAATAAAGTTATCTTTCAGTGAAGCTTTTATCCAAGATTCATAAGGGACAGATTTTTTGTGCCATTTATTAAGAGATGCCAGATAAATCCTTAATTCATTGCATAACTAATTGCAGAAATAAAGCAATATAAGTATCTATCAGACTGATTCCCATCCTGCAAGTTTGAAGACTATTTATGAAGTATTATATAAGCTTAGATCCCAGATAGGATCACTTGCCTCCATTCTGGGTTTATCTATTTAACATTTAACATACTCTGACTGACCATCTTATTATATATAATGCCATGCATATATATTAGTTTACCAGGTGGCAAAACTGCTATGTTTAGCTTTTATCTGTGCTCGTTCAAATGAGGAAAGGTGTGTACCAATGTAACTGGCAAGTTTCCTTCCAGGACGTTCCCCCAAAAACCACAGGAGTCATCAGCCTTGTGTATCCTGGAGATACACTCAGCAGCATGTCTGTCCCAGGTGGTGCCCTTGCCCAAAAGGCCAAAATTAAAGAGGTGAGGCTGTATTAGTGTGGCTCCCCATGGGTGCTTCAGCAGCAGCAACAGGACAGGTAACTTTGAGCAGCTCCACCTAAGAGGTGGAACTAAGCAAGAATTTCTGATCACTGCCACTAAATTAGGGGGGTAGTAGATGCATAGCATCTGAACAGCCTAAAAAGCTGTGTTCAAGTGCACTGCTTCCTGCCAAGCTATCTTAGTTAATTGTATGATCTCAGTAACAGCTATGCCGTCTAGTTCTTGCCAGTTCTGATTACTGCTTCAAATCCTCCATCTTATGCAATAACAGGAGACCATAGCAACTAATCATGTCAGGTTGCAAGTTTTCTCTTTAAAGTTTTGTATCTGTCTGTTTTACTCAGGAGAAATAACACGAATAGAAACTGAAACCTATTTGTTAGGTAGTACAAAGACTGGTTACTCGAAGAGTTTGTCAGGGTGACTTTTAAGACTTCAGTAAATACCCAGTTCAAAAAAGTCAGTTATAAAAGTCATAAACACTCATAAACACTGGTTTTTTCCTGCATTTCAAAAGCATCCTAAACCAAAGATCAACTACTCCAACACTTTGATGATAGAACCATCTCAACCTAACCATAATAGGCACAGTGTTTGTAGAAGACTAGTGTCTAGTAAGGCAGAATATTTTCCAAAATAACATCATATAATTCAGTTTGCACCTCAAAATACAATACAAGATCCAGAAAACTGAATTTCACCAACCTAGCGCAATGACTGCAGTAGAAAGTAATGCACCTTATTTCAGGTATTCTGAAGTGTGTCCATGAGGGCCTTGCATGAAAAGAATCCTATTTATTTACAGTCTGCCTGTTTCAGTGCAAGTTTTGTGCAAACATCAGCTCTGACACGTCCAGAAAAATTGCACTAACTGAAATCAAATGCATAGTATCACTTCAGTGAAACCAGTAATACTTGCTTGGATAACTATACGTAATTAATGTTTACTAATAGTGGTAACTGCAGCACAGGTACTATAAAGTATTTTTCGAGCAGTATCATAGTTCTAAGTACACACCAGCTGATGCTACAGCTCTGGCCATATGAATGTCTCTCTCAGCTAGAGGCAGCTCAGGTAGCCCTTACTCCCAGTCATTCATTCCCTCAGTTGTACCAGTATAGCTCTCTGCTTGTGAGCTGGGTCAGCCCACTAATCTGGGTAAAAAAATAAATCCCTTCTAAGACAAATCAGTTCATTGTATAACTCTACACACATCAGTTCAGCACAGCTGAGAAGATGCTGCAGAACCAACCCGACAGGGCCTGCTTATGTTTGGGACTACATGAAAAATCTATTTGCAAGGGTATGATATCAAATTCCAATATGCTTGTGCTGCTATTACACGCACAGAACAGGCTACACAGTTACTAACATCACTGTATTTTTGCCTCTATCTCCACAGCTGCCGGACTGATGGTTGTACAACAGTCTCTTCTCTTCAGCACTGAAAAAAGAAAGGGCTGAGGCAACTCATCCTCTCCCCAAAACGATGGTTGTCTTCTTTCCTTCTAGGAAAGCGCCAGACATTGTGAGATGTGTGACATTCAGAAGACTACACAGAGGGAGAAAGCCTTTGTCCCAGGAAGGTGGGAAAGGAGGAAGCAAGTCCTCCAGTAAGATCAGTTTTCTAAAGAGGTGGTGGCAGTGGAACAGGAGGGGCAGACTTGACCTCATACATAAATTTAAAGTCATCAGCCACCCCTAACAAACCATGAAAATATCATAGTTTAATAGTTTCAGGATTCTTAGTGCTGGCAGACCTCTATCCATACTGTGAAAGACTCAGATTTTATTGCCCATCATTGCTGAGCATCAGGTGTAAGATATAAACAAGGTTAAACTCTATGGACAGTCCAAAACCAAAGCTGAACCTAGCTGGCTTTGAATGGCATTTGTAGCTAAGCCAGTAAAACATCTGCACAGAGACTCCATCTGAGTAGAAACAAATACATCTGAGCCAGAGGTGAAGAGGGGATACCATCTTATAATGGCTGCATCACTGAGCAGCACTTTGGAAAGCACACACACAAACACAAATATTTATATTTACAAACTCTTTACATCCTACTGAGGATTGCATCCTTCATTATTTATAAACAAGTGTCTACTTCTAGACTTTTAAGTTCCTTTTTCCCCACTTGAATTGTTTTTCTGCAAATATTGCACACCGTCCAATTCAGCAGCAGGAACGCCCTCGTGTATGCTCTTACTGAAATTAAAGGAAGAGTTAAAACTTCGGCAGGTTGCGTTTAGAGATAGAGGTCAGCTCGCCTGCCCTTCCCCCCCGGACAAGCCCACGGTCCGCGCCTAATTCACCACCCGGTTTCGGGGGGAAGCTGGAGAGGCTCAGACTCTTCCCCCTGGGCGCAAGGGCACAATCGCGGGCATTTCCTCAGCCAGGGGTTTATTTTCCTGGCACGCGTGGGAAGCCGGGCCTCGGCCCCTCAGGGTGGGAGCGGCGGGAAGCGCGCGGGCT